GGGGCGAACAAACGTCAACCTGTTGTTTGTCCCGTCACCATTTATCAACTCTGGGCACCACAAGGAAGTGCGGCCGCCGCCCGCGCGGGGAGCTCAGCATGCAGGAAGTGCGGGGAGAGCTCGGCCACTAGCGCGGCCGCCGTCCCGGGAGCGTCTCCCGGCTTTTTCTCGGAGCGACGCTGTCCCCGGGTCGCTGATCCCAATGCACCGGCTCATCCTCGTCTACACGCTAGCCTGCGCAAACTTTTGCAGCTACCGGGACACTTCTGCAACCCCGCAGAGCGCATCCATCAAAGCTTTGCGCAACGCCAACCTCAGGCGAGATGGTAAGAGACTCCGATTTTATTTTTTTTCATTAAATAACCATGGTTTTTGTTGTCATCATTGTCGTCCCCCCATCACCCTTTTCAGGTTTTCTTCTGAACCTTGGTTGTGGGGGGTGGGGGGAGCGCGGAAGGGGTCTCGTGCCTGTCCCTTGACCTACGAGAGCCCCTTCTTCCGAAATGGGACTGGAGGGTGTGAGACGCGTGCCGGAGGTGATCGGATAGGTCAGGTGGCTCATCTCCCTGACCCTAGAGAAGTCATTTTGGTGTCCAGCGGTCACTGACACCGGGATCCAGGAGTTGCAGAAAGTTGCTGGCTGCGCCGCCGCACGGCCAGGCTCTTAACCTTTTGGACTGAAACGATGGATGGGGCATTTGGGACGGGTGGAGGGACTCAAGAGTGGCTTCCTCGGGATGGTTTATTTTTATGTTTATTTTAGCAAGGGGAGCGGCAATGATGCTTTTCGGGGGGGGGAATAGTAGCGGGAACAGAGTGACAACTTATTTATGTATTTATTTTGAGGATCCCCACAGTGACTTTCCCAATGGGATTCACCGTGGCTCAGAAATTCGGAATCCTGGAGAAAATAGCTTTGGGGGTTTCATCTGTATCATAGAGGGGACCCGGCTTCTGCTCTTAGTTTTCTTGCACAGAAGGCTTCCCAACTGGTTGCAAGAAGCAAAGCTCTTTAAGCAGCTATCAAGGTCCCAAGCAAGCTTGTTTGTTTTCCTTTACTGTGGAGGACACCTGGGTCATTGGATCCCAGCGACTGACTGAGTTTATTTGCTTTCTGGACCTCCACCAAGATCTGAAGTTGATTTATTCCTCAGTTCTGAAGTAGAGCGGATGTTGTAGATTCTCCTGCCATCTACCTGAACTGACCCATAGGTTTCTGTTTTTTCCTAAGTCAATAATGTGTTTCTATCTGCTCACTTAAATTCTCACACATCCCCTAAGGAGATCACCAGGCTGTTCTTAATGGCTTCAGCCTTTGAGCTGGCATCGTTCGACTGTTCTCTGGTAAACTCATATTAGCTTTCTTATTTTCTTACCAGTTTCTCTCTTGGTGTGTCCTTCACTTGGACTTCACTGAAAGGCTTTGGGACTTTGAAACAAACAAACACAAACTTTATTATATTTTCTGATGGCAAGTAGACTGCGGATTTCAGTGTGCTGAAGTCATCTGAAGTGGAGGGGGTACAGGGAAGCCACAGAGTCACCTCCTGGCAGAAGATCACTCAATATTTATAGATTTACTTTATTACAGTACTTTCTGTAAAATATGCTAGCAGTGCATTTTTATAACCCTCTGTCTTAGTTAAAGCACAACATTTTTTTTTATTAAACTTAAAAAAAGGTTTAGGCTCAAGATTAAACTTCTAGAGTTTTGTTTCACTTATTAATGTTTCTACCAGAGTCAGTCTTTTATTGTTGAGTTTTTAGATTTGTTACTGTTTGTACTTTATATGCCCTTTCAACTGCATAGAATAAAATGCCATTTATACTTTGCATGACTTCTTAGCCATAATTTTGTAATCCTTAGCTCCCCAAGTATCAGTTACAAGAGGTCAAGGACAGAAAACGAAAAGTATGTAATCACTGCCCACTGACCCAAGATTCTGACTAAAACCTAGTCATGCGGCTCATATTTCTTTTTTGGAAAAGCATAATCTCATTTTATTTTTTTGTTGTTAAAACTCTGTATCTGTTTAGTCTATATGAGAAACGCTAATGCTTTATTTTATCAAGGATGTGAAAGCTTCCCTGGATTTGTTTCTACATATTTTAGCTGAAGCTGTTTTTCAGTTACTCATAGTACACACACACACACACACACACACACACACTGATTAGTTCAGATTGCTCAATACTTTCCTCTGTGTCAATCTCATTTTATAAACACAAGACTAGGAAAGAGGAAAAGGTAGTCAGATTAAAACAAAATTATTATATACAGAGTAAAAAAAAATAACACTCATAGTGGATTTTTAGTTGGGAAAACTTTTAAAAGGCAGCTTATTCTTAAGTGTTATAGAGCAAAAGTTCCTTGAAAAATTCTAGACATCATCTGAAAAATTTTAATGGCAACAGTTGAGCTGATGAAAGAAAGTAGTAACTTATTAAATGTAAACCCTTGTTCTGATTCCGGACATTTTAAACGTGCTCTCCCTAATGGCTAATTAAAGAAGACAATATTCTTGATCAGATTAAGGCAGAATAAAGTTTGGGGAGGTCATAAACAGGGAGTATAATGAGCGGAAAGACAGAAAACAAAATAAAGGACAGAAAAGGAAAAATGAAAGTTTTCAAACGTTAATGTAGGGTCCTTAGATGATCTGGCCTCAGATTATAAAGTGTAGGAAATGACAACATAAAATTAGAATTGGCCTGTAATAGGGCTTTTGAAACTGTGATCTGATGATGGAACTGTCTTTCCACTTGAGTGCCGTGACTGTGTCAGCTGCTGCCTAACGCTGGGGTTAAGAAAGGAACAAAGAGGACAAGCATCCTGTCCTTGGCATGAGGTGCGTTGGATCCTGTCCAACCTGATACAAAAAAAAATTGCTTATGATCTGCCTGTACCTAATAGCTCCAGATAACGGGAGTAGTTAAGAAACAAACTGAAAACAAATTAAGAAGGTTGGTAAATGAGAGTCATCTCCTGCTCTGCTGCCGTCCCCTGGCCTTCCAGAACTCTCCATCGCAGAGGATTCTTGTTCTAAAAGGGATGCCTACCTACTGAACCCTTGAGCCAGCACGTGCAGAATGACCGAAGGTGACCAGTCCAGTAGAGGAGGGAGGTTGAATTTGGTCCCTGTCTCCAATAGGAAACTCGGTCCAATAGCTAAGGAGGAAAAATGTGATAGTTTGCAGTGCCTAGTTGGATGTTTATACATCCTTATGTCATATTTATTATTCTTTCTCAAACTCATTTACTTTTGCTACCCATTCCTGACCCACCTCTTGGCACGGAGAAAAACCGTCCTTGAGCAGAAGCGTCCACATATTCTTATTTTAGTGCCTGTGCACTTTGGTGCCCTTGTTATAATAACTGGCCACAACTGGTGCTGCTCAGAGTGTGAATCCAGAAGGTAGCGATTAACTCACAGTGTGACTTACTTATTTTTAAATCTAACTAGGCAGAACTTCCTGCTTAGGGCGCTAAGATTACAGACACACTCTGCATTTTCCTGACCCGTTTTTTTGCTTTCAGACAGTTACAGGTGTCGGTGGTAAACGATTCTGAATATAGTTCTGTTTGGTTGTGTAATATACCAGGACTTGAATTGTCTATTACATTATCATTATCTACTGATTGGCCGGCAGTTTCAGTAATGGTGGCCTTAGATTTTTTTTTAAGTAGTCCAGCTTTTTTGTTAAATAACATAGTTTTCTATTGTCCTTGCTGATGACAGCACATTGACTTTGGTGCAAAGATCAGAGCTTAAAGCAAAGGCAACAAAACGGAGAGTTATAGAAACAAATTAGTTCTAAGGTGTCTGAACACTGAGAATCAAATTAGTGTCTGAATCTCATGTTCTGTTGTATTTATATTTTCTGTTCTACTCTAAGTGTTTTAAAGCCTCCTAATCTTACAGAGTGTAATGGAGATGACATATTTTAAACGCAGCATGGCTTTGACTTGCCATCATAGGTTGTATTGCTTAATAGAGGTTCTTTTTAAGAGGCGAGTTTAGCCATTATCTGCCAGTAAAAGATGCCACAAGGTTGTGATACAGTAGCAACCATTGTGTGTTTGTTGAATTACAGTAATTTTTGAAAACAGGATTTTCCCTTTCAGCGAATGAGAGCAAAACTTTATTGTTTTAGTACAATAGGGTCAAACAGCGGAGCAATGTCCCCAGACTCCCGGGTCTCCAGTGACCAGCGATAAACATGCTGTCACACGGGACTGTTGAGCATATGGGGTCTCAGAGAATCCCATCATTCCAGGAGGCTGCAGCAGAAGTGCATTTATGTCTCCGTCCTTGAGCACTGAGTCATGACGCAATCCATCTTCCCTTTGGAACTTACTCTGGAACTTTCTTTGCTGAAATGATATGATTAGTGTAAAAAGGCAGTAGCTGAACATTTCAGTAACATTCTTCCTGGCATGAAAATAGGAGCCAAGTCTGAATGTCTACATTTAAGATGCCCAGTGCCTGGACATCACTGAGGTCCCCTCACCCTGGAAGCCCCTCGTAGCTCAGCACAAAAGATAGTAGATTTTCGTTAACTGGATATGAGGTCTCATTAGGGTAATGTAAATCATATAAGTAGCCTCTTTAGTGTTTTACACCGTTTTCCATTATTTCAAACTAATACAGTTCAGAATTTATGCAGTTTCAAAGGGAATATTTTTATATAACTTTTATATGAAGGATAGTTTCAGCAAAAAACTGTAGGAGGGCAATATATAATAGCCAAAGGAAAGAATCCAAGACAAATGCTGCAGCAAAAATGCTCTGCCTCCCCACACAGTATTTCAGGACCAAATGTAAGTCCTAAACAAAGGATTAAGCCCAAGAGACACTAAAGCGCACAAGTGCACAAACAGGAGGAAATAGTTTCTTACAAAGGAATTTTTTTTTTAGAATGAAAATGAAGCAGATCTTGTTTCTCACAAGTGTTGCTGCTGCATATAGTCGCATATCTTTGCTCCTCACCGCGGTGTGCTGACATCCACATATTGGCTTTAATTTTGATAGATGAATACTGTGTTTTTCGGTGATCTGCACTGTGTGCAGGCTAGTGGTTTTTGCACAATTGGGAGTCAGGGAGGGCTGTGAACGCGCCATGGTGTAGGCAGAGGGGCTGTAAAGAGTGATCTTTTCTCAGATTCGGGGTTTTTCACTTGGACGTTTTTTGTAGAGCGTTGATGAAGACAGATAGTTTTAAATGCAGGGCTTTTTGTGAAAGTGAGCCAAACCTGATTTGAAACCTCGTCTGTTCGGAGTTTTGATTTTTGAAATTAGAAATCTAGCATGCCCTCTTTGGACTG